GGAACATCATGATACAAAGACTAGGTTAATGGCCCTCTGTGATGAAGTGGCAATCTTCTTAATGTTTTGTATGAATACTCTGTGTGTGCCTCAGTTTCCCCTATGTGTTCCCCAAGTATCTAGGTGGTGGGACAAGCATTTGTGATTGTTGCAGAGACCTCTGGAGGGCAGGTATGACTGCCATCTAGCTCCCTGGGCTCAGACAACGGCCAGACACTCGGTATCCTGACAACTGATGGCCTGGGCTCATCCTCTGCAAGAGCCAGCCGAAGGAGTTGGAGAATAAAGAGAGAGGTGGAGGTCAGGTGACCGGTTTGCCCGAGAAAGAGACAAAGGATGGAGGAGGGGCAACTGGGCATGACTGAGGATGGGCTGCTTAAAGCTGGTCAGTCTCCTGGTTTGGCACTCAGGGGGAGAACCCAGGGCTCTGGGTCTTCCCAAGATGGACTTTGCTGAATCTTTCTACTTCTTGTGCTAACAAGAACTGTTCTACGCCGTGTTCCAGACAACTAATAAACCCTTCTGTTTTACAACGCTGGCTGAGACTCTGTGAAGTTGGGGTGCATGGCCCCTTTGGGGGGCGTGTAAGGCTTCCCCAGGTGTCTTATTCAGGTGGACTCACTGCAGGGAGCTCATGGCATGAAATTGGGGTGCTGAACGCTCCGAGGTCAGACCCAGGAGGCGCTGAAGCCAAGGAGGCTTGCCCTAGTGAGTGTGTCCTGAGGGGTTGTCACACTACAAGAGGGTCCTGTCTGAACTTCATTCAGAGCGGTACCAGAGCACTGAGCCTGTGCACCCCGTGACACCCTCTCACACTCATGAAGGTGCTATGTGCAAGAAAGCCCAGCCCGTCAGTGTGAATGCTGGAAGAAGGGGATAAAACAGGCACAGAAGAAAATTTTATATCTCTCTTTGCTGTTTATATTCTCACAGGGCTGGAGCTAGGAAACAGAAGCAGAGATCCCCAGGTTCAATCTGGATTAGCCCTAAAAGACATTCAGTGCTGACAGATTACTACAACCGTGTCACCTTTTGGAACCTGTGATGAGGCGGAGTGGCCTCCCACTGAGACAGAGTGGGAGGGGTCTCACACTGGGCCAGGGTGGGCGGAGCCAAAGCCAGCTCGTCCCACCCACCAGAAGTCAAGGGGTGGGACAGGAAGTATAAAGGGAGCACTCTGTAGCTGGAGGAGACAGATGCCTCCCGCCTGCTCCCAGAGCTGAAGCCCAAGGGGGACCCTTGCCGCGCTGAGGACTGGCCCGAATAGCGGACGCTGCCGACAGATGAAAATCCCAGAGAGTGGCTGGGGCTGCCGCTGGCTATCTACGCCAGGCTGATGGAGGACCCCCACGGAGGCAGGTACACCCCGAGGGAAGGATTGGAAGTGGCCCTGGGACAGCCGACTCCAGTCCGGCTGCGTTTGCTGCCTGAACCCCAGTCAGCGTGTTGGGGCCGGATCCCTGCTGACCCAGTGGCGGAACCCTCCACCACTGCTAGGGCCTTGGGCTGGAACCTAGTGGAGTAGGGTGGGCCTGGGTCCCCCTACCCCTTCACCCCGGGGTAGCAGTTTCCCTACCATAGGCCAGGAGGCCTGTGTTTACCAGTCCCGCCCAAGGGCCAGAGCCTCCCGGGACTGCTGATTGCTCAGTCCCACCCGAGACATAGACAGTTGACTGGCTAATTCCCTTGCCACTTAACTTCAAATACAGAGATGTAGTGAGGCAGAGTGGCCTCCCACTGAACTAGAGTGAGAGGGGCCTCCACTAACCCACTATAGAACCATAGACTGTAACTCATTTGTGTATATATGTTGCCTGCTTTAATCTATAAATAACTCTGGTATTTCCGAGTTAATAAATCCTTAGTTGGTTTACTATAAGATTGGCTACAAGGATTATTTTTGGTGTGAGATCTGAGGTACAAATTGACCTGGGGTAAGTGACTGGTCTTTTGTGACTGAAAGCAACTTGAATCTTTTGTGATCTTTGGTGTATGGCAACCAACTATCACTAAATCCAGCTTGCCTGGATGATAAGATAGATTGGAGTCCAGGACCTCCACAGTAGCATTCTCTGGGATGCTTCCGGTTCCACGCACAGGGCCAGTTGGACGGGTGGAGCTGTGGGGTTTCAATGTGTGGATGAGATGATGGTATAGGAAAGAAGGGTTTGGGTTTGTTAAGAACTGGGGAACCTTTTGGGAAAGGAGGAGCTATGTGGGAGGGATGGGCTCCACCTGGACCAACGCAAAACTAGATTGCTGGCATGTAAGGTTGAAAAGGTTGTAGAGATTTCAGGCTAAGGGCTGGGAGAAAGCCGATGGGTACGGAGGAGCACACAGTTTGGACAGAGGCATCCTTTACGGGAGACTCTATTAACGGGGATTCTCTATATCCTAGTAAGGAGGTGAGGATGGAAGTTGATAAAGTACAGGTAGGAACTGAAGAGAAACAGTCAAATGAAAGAGTCCCATTCAATTACATCACATAATGGCAGACAGCTAAAAAGTGACAAATTTTTATAAGTGCTTGTATACAAATGCTAGAAGTCTAAATACTAAGATGGGTGAACTTGAGTGCCTGGTATTAAATGAGGTTATTGATATAATAGGCATCACAGAAACTTGGTGAAATGATAATAAATGGAACACGGTAATACCAGGATACAAAATATGTTGGAATGACAGAGTAGGTCATGCTAGTGGGGGAGTGGCACTATATGTGAAAGAAAGCAGAGTCAAATATAGTAAAAATCTTAAATGAATCAAACTGTACCATAGAATATCTATAGATAGAAATTCCGTGCTTGAATAATAAAAATATAGCAGTAGGAATATACTACCAATCACCTGACAGTGATGGTGATTGTGAAATGCTCAGAGAGATTAGAGAGGCTATAGAAATATAAAATTCAATAGTAATGGGGGATTTCAACTATCCCCATATTGACTGGGTACATGTCACCTCAGGACAGGATACTGAGATTGAGTTTCTAGACACCATGAATAACTGCTTCTTGGAGCAGCTAGTCCTGGAACCCACAAGAGGAGAAGAAATTCTTGATTTAGTCCAAAGTGAAGCACAAGATTTGGTCCAGGAGGTGAATATAGCTGAACCACTCGGTAATAGTGACCATAATATAATTAAATGTAACATCCTGGGGGGCGGAAACAACACCAAAGAAACCCACCACAGTAGCATTTAACTTCAGAAAGGAAACTACACAAAAATGAGGAAGCTAGTTAAATGGAAATTAAAAGGTACAGTCACAAAAATGAAATGTCTGCAAGCTGCATGGGAACTTTTTAAAAACATCATGATAGATGCTCAAATTAAATGTATATCCCAAATTAAAAAACACAGTAAGGGGACCAACAAAGTGCCACCATGGCTAAACAATAAAATAAAAGAAGCAGTTAGAGTCATAAAGACATCTTTTAAAAATTGGAAGTTAAATTCTACTGAGGAAAATAGAAAGGAGCATAAACTCTGGCAGGTCAACTGTAAAAGTTTAATTAGGCAGTCCAAAAAAGAAATGGAAGAGAAACTAGCCAAAGACTCAAAAACTAACAAATTTTTGAGTACATGCAAAGCAGGAAGCCTGCCAAACAATCAGTGGGGCCACGGGACGATCGAGGTGTTAAAGGAGCACTCAAGGAAGATAAGGCCATTGCAGAGAAGCTAAATCAATTCTTTGCCTCTGGCTTCACTGCAAAGTATGTGAGGGAAGTTGAAAGTCCAGACTCCAAGGTTTTATTCCCAGTTTTGGGAGGAAAAGCTAATTTAGTGGTCAGAAAAGGAGAACATGGAAGTCAGGACCTCTGGGTTATATACTGGGCTCTAGGAGGTGAGTGAGTGGGTGGTTACAATGGGAACAGGAATCACGACACCTGGGTTCTATTCTCATCTTGGCCAGTGACTCAGACAAGTCACTTGGGCCCAGATCTCACAGATATTTAGGTGCTTAATTCCTGGTGGGAGTTATGTCTCGATACCTTTGAGGATCTGGGCCTTCATCTCTTTCTGTGCCTGTTTCTCCACCCATAAAATGGCAACAATGATACTTACCTTTGTACTACAGACAGAAAGAAAAATTCTATTGTGAAATACACCAGTTTAAACCTGGAGCAACTCCACTGAAGATAATGGGGTCACATCAGTGTAATTGAGAGAGCAGTCTGGTAGGAAACATTGTACACAAGGGATTTTATTATTTTCCTTTGCAGATTTTGCCAAGATTTCCCACATTTATATTACCCACGTTATCGACGTCCTGCATTGCAGATCCCTCCCACAGCTTTTGTTGACTCTGAATCTGGATATATATTAGGATTGTCAAAGGCATTTAAGCAAATTAGGTGCCTAACCCTATGGGAGTTAGGTGCCTAGCTACTTTTGAAATTTGGCTCTCTATTGCCAGTATCCTTCGGTATTTTCCAGTCCTGGGACTTCAGAATGAGGAAAATCCCAAATGCTATGTAAATGTGAAATATTTTTTATTGATATTACACTATTTGTAAAGGGTTTGGGGATCAAAATGACCCCAAAATTCCAGAGCTAAATTTTTCAAAACCAGAAGCCTAAATTTTGATTCCTACACCCTGATTTAGCCTCCTAAATAAACTTTCAGAAATGTTGAGTAGGGTTATTCAGCACTTTTGAATATCAGCTCCATTTAGACCCTACCCTACATCAGGATTTCTGGACAGTTCCTCTAAAAACTCCAGCCTAGCTTTTAAAATTTTGACTCAAGATTGCATTCTCTAATACAGACTGAAAAATCTTTTTGAGAGATTTCACAGAAAACCACAGATTTCCGTCACACAATTTTTCCTAACCCAGCTCTGTAAAGGTCTGTAGCCACATGGTTTGAAGCCTCAACAGATTAATGTTTCGGCATCTCGCTTTTTGATTCAAGGAAATGAGAGACTGACAGGTTTATGCTCTCAGCCAATTGCAAAGCTGCTCTCTTCTCTGTCCCACCTACCACTTCCTCTCATCTTTCTCTCTTTCATCATCACCATGCTTCCTGTACGTATCCTGTTCCTGTACTCCCAGACCAGCGTGCTTGGTAAGTGGCAAGATCTCTAGCTCGGTTTGAATCCTTTGCCATTCTGAGTTTAATTTTTGCCATCCACCCATGTGTTAGGATTAGAATAAATGTAGTTAAACTGTATGTGGTGGAGAAAGGTTTTCCCGTGGATTGAGTTTGGCCTTAGGGTTGAATTCAGAATCCATAGGCCACCCCTTTACGTAGGGCCAAAGGCAGGGGATTAGTGGGAAAGTGGTCTGTTAAAACTGTGCGATCTTCAGCGACACCCCTGAAATCCCCATTGACTTTGCAGTCCCTGGGTGAAACAGACGGCATGATTTGTCCCTGTGTTTTAATAAATTACTATGTGTCTGCAGTGTTCCTCTTCAGGTCTGCATGAAGTCACACATGCTGTAAAATGAGTTCGTTATCTCTCTCCTACTCCTCTCTTCTCCCCGCCCCTGTATGATTTGGTGACTTGTTTCAGGGCACATAGGGAGTGTGCTGCAGAGTTCGGAAGCTAACGCAGGAGTTCTGACGCTTAATTCTGCCCTTTAATCCAGTAGATTCTACTCCCAGCTCTGGAAGGGAGAGCAAAGCCCAGAGATCCACTCCTCCTGTCGTAGGCAAACCATCATAAACAGCAGTAGGTGTTTTATGTACAGATCTGTTTTTAAGAGGAAAAACCACGTGGTGGGTGAGCTGGTGAAAGTTAAAGAATGTCCCTGCTGCGGAGGGAGGCTGGGTTAGCACGGTGCCTTCTGCTGTGTGTTCTAGCAGTCTCTTCAGGGGTGTGGAGTGAGCTGGCAGTGGGTTTGACTTAGTGTTCAAAAATGCTGCTGCTGGTAATGGTGAAATTGCCCACGCTGTGTGTGGCCCACGTGTTGGGGGAAAGCGTGGGAGTTGAAGGTGACTCCAGGCCTCAGTTTTGGTTTGGCTATTCTCCCCACTTTATAATTTGCGGCTGGAACTGCATGCTGCACCACTGAAGTAAATAAATGGAAGCTTAATTACAAGAGAAGAAAGTTGAGCGAGCTCTGCTGGCTTTGAAACATAGGGTGGAATTCAGAGGCTGTCCTGAGCCCAGTCTGACTCCAGTGGTAAAACTTCCATCTACTTGTATAGTGCCTTTGCCGAACCCCACGTGCCATCCAGACCCCCTTTAAAAAATGCAGTTTCATGATGGAGGTGGGTGGGCTGGGAGTCAAGACTCCTGGGTTCTACCTCAGCCCTGGGAGGGTAGTGGGGTCTAATGGTGGGTGGACTGGGAGTCAGGACTCCTGACTATTGGCTCTGACCCTGTCCCAGGGGTGACCTTGAGCAAGCCACTTTGCCCTTGCCCCTCTGTACCTCAGTTTCCTCACCTGTACAATGTGAATAATACTTCATAGGAAGCATGTGAGGCTTGATTCATTCATGATTATAAAACACTCAAAAATCTTTGGATGGGAGTTCCTAGAAAAAGAGCACATTATCAAATATTATTGTTTTTGATCCCTTATTAGCTACTAGTGGTTGGGTACTTCATAACCTGTGAGTGATCCCAGACTGCAACTTTTACCTGATCTGTAGCACCTACTCCTTGCACCTACCACGATAAAGAGAACCAACAACTTTTATGCAGGCCAGAAAAATACCCAAGAGCCCAGTATCTATGAAGCCTCAAAGGATTTCAGATACAGAATGCAAACGCCATAGGCTGCAAGCAGCCGGGCTTTAACAGAAAGGTTCTCTGCCCTGCTCTGGGAGTTGGATCTGCAAATGAAGCAGTGGGATAAAGTCTGGAGGCTGATTCAGGGCAGTAATGGGTTCAATTAAGGATTATTCTAACACAGAAGGTTAGAGCTACATAGAATGTGTGGCCTAACAGGCCTGTCTTCTTGGGGTTAGTGCAGGATTGTTCCCTACAGTCTGCTTTCTATCACTTTGTTCAGTCTAGTTTTAAAAGTCCCAAAGTAAATCAGGAAGAGCTGAGATTAGAAGTGTAAAGCCTTTTGGCTGAGAGGAAGAATGAACCAGCAATTAGGGTGCTAGCCTGGGACTTGAGAGACATGGGCTTAATTTCCTGCTCTACCACAAACTTCTTGTGCGACCTTGTGCAAGTTTTAGTCTCTCTGGGTCAGATTTGTATAGGTACTTGGGCATCTAAAGATACAGATAGATGCACAGTGAGATGTTCAGAAGTGCCTAGGTGCCTAACCCCTACTGATTTCAATCTGCCTCTTTAGGTGCCCACAGACATTTAAAAAAACTGGCCCTCAGCCTCAATTCCAAATCTGTAAAATGTGGATAATAGCAATGCCCTACATCACCAGGAAGAAATTGTGAGGTGCTCAGATAGTTGATAATGGGAGCTCTGTTTCTGGTGCTGGGAGGAGGTGGAGTTTACTGATTAGAGAAGAGTGAATTGAGATTGACCTTCATTTGGTTCTATTCATGGCTCTGTCTCTCGCTGTGTGACCTTGGGCAAGCGATTTGCCACTCTGTGCCTCAGTTTCCTCAGTTATACAGTGGAGATGATATTGACTTCACAGGGTGGATGAGGCTTAATATTTGTAAAGCACTTGGGCTGGGATTGTTAGAGGAGCCTAAGGGGATAAGTAAGGTGCCTAATTCCCTTAGACTTCTCTGAAAGCCTCTGGAGATTTTTGGAAGAAAGGAGCTAGAGAAAGACAAACCCTTATAACTGTATTAATTTTAGTGGGTGTAGCTTCTGCATTATTGGTGACCCCTAAAGGTGGGAACATCCTGCTGTGGAGGCTTTTACAATCCTGTCTCTAGTGTAACCTTTAAACACCAATTTTCTGACATAGCTATGGCAGGGTTGGATGTGGTCTGGTTGCCAGGTTTTGGTCTGTGTATCCTAAACCAATGTTTGTATCTCTTCATTTTAGACTGAAAATGGAATTGATGAGCTGGGAGGAAACAGTTGCTTTGGAGAAATGCCACGTTCCAGATATGGGGCTCAGTGAGCTGGTATGAGATTGGCTTCTTACAGAGGAACAGAGAATCCCTGCCCAGGGGGTTAAACATTACATAACAGCAAAACTGTCAAAATCTAGGGGCAACTATAATGGGTTAGAACAGGGGGGCTAGGAGTTAGGACTCCTAGGTTCTATTCCCAACTCTGGGGAGTGTGGACTAGTGGTTGGAGCAAGGGGAATCAAGTCTAGTTGTAGAGAAGGAGGACTGGGAGTCAGGACTCCTGGGTTCTATTTGGCTACCTCTCTTTAAGTGCTTTAGCAAGACCTAAAATTTCCAACCTGGAGAGAGGACTCCAGAGTATTCCTGTTAGGTGGTCTGGCAGGCCTAATCCTGCCCTGATCTATCTCCCTTCCCCCAAATAGTGCAGGCTGAGGCATGTCAAACCTTCAGCTTTGGCCTTTGTAATGTAGCAGATGTTTTTCAACTCTGACTTGATTGAAGTATCTGTTACCAGCTGTGTTGACCAATCCAACTTTCAGCTGTGACAATGGAGTGTAGTAGGAGTGACTTGTGGCTTCACATGTCTTGAGGCCTTCAGATTTTAAGTCCTCATTGTCCAGGACTGGTTCATCTCTTCCTCCTGCCACTGCAGATAAATTAATGCTTTTTGTCTGAAGCTGTTCGGTCTTTTGCTTGAGGCCTTAATAAAATTTGAGATCCTGTCTGCTCACTGTGGATGTTAAAAGGGCCATGTGATCTTTTGTAAGCATCAGGAGGGAGTTTACCCAGATGTCCGCTAAAATATTCTCCTCCCTTCTCCTGTTGCACTTTGCTCTCGTTGCCTCCCTCCACCCCAGAAGTGACTTCCTTTTTACTCCTGCTGTCTTCCCCTCCATGTATAGTGTTATCTCTTTCTGCCTAGCTATGCTCTGGTAGAACTGGGCTGTGGTGTGCTGGGAATTAGGTTTAGATGAGTCCAGTGGCAACTCTGATCTCTGGTGTAGCTGCAACAGGAGAGGAAGTAGGGGAGAGGAAGAGGCTGTGTTGGTCACACTCTAGTCTTATGAATGTTTCTTTGCCTGTTTCAGATTGTGGAGAGGCTGGAGGATGAAGACTGACTCCCCACCCCCATGAAATGATCAGGGCTGAAGTGGAAAAATGAAGTACTGTAACTGAATCTTGAAAATGGTCTGTAATGAAACATCTTGGACCTGAGCCCTAAGGACAGTAGGGTAAGGGCCTCCAACTGAGTAGGGCCTTAAAGAAAAGGGACTGAGTGGTTTTATGGCCTACCTGAGCTGAGATGAAGATAATCAGCTCCTGTGCTTTCAGGGCTTGCTCTGATCTGTTAGGAAGTAGCCAGGCATGTGTTGCTAGAGGCAGGATGCTTGACTTGATGGGCCCATCCACTGTTTTATTATTAGTTGTATTACACTGTAGCCTCGAGGCCCTACAGTGCTAGGGTTTGTACAGACACTTCATTAGAGGCCATCCCTGTCCCAAAGATTTTTGTTGACTTTGTCTACTTAGGTTATAAAGGATGGAAAACAGGAAGTATCAGCATTGCAGATGGGGAACCGAGGTACAGAGAGCTGAAGACTGAGATTTTCAAAGGAGCCCAGTGGAGTTAGGTACCCAAATCTGAGATTTAAAAGGATTTGCTTGAGGTCACCCAGGGAGTCTGTGGCAGAGCTGAGAACTGATCCCAGATGTCCCAGTCCAGAACCGTAACCACACAACTGTCCCTGTGCTTGAGGCACTTTTTAATCCTTCACTTTCCATGGCAAGACCTATGTTCCTATGTCTCAGACTCCAGAAATATTGGGGATAAGATCCTCGCTCTTGTGGCACAATAAGCGCCCCTTGGACAGACACTTGGTATTGGGAGAAGTGTGCTACTGTATGAGACAGCCCCCATGCATCCAATTATGGGCTATCTTGAGGGTTGGTGTGGAGAGGAGACCCAGCCTACAAGAAGTTTCTTCTCAGACCAGGAGACCCCCTGGTCTTTGCCATTGGTGATGTCGCAGCTAGGTTTGAGGGCGTGGGTGGGGTCTGCCATGATGAACAGTATGATCAGACCATCTTTCACCTGATCCACCCTGATGCCACATGTGCAGACCCCACTACATCAAAGAAGGAGAGAAGCATTAACTCCCTGTGTGGCTTCCATTTCAGGCCTGCAGTGAAATCTGGGCATTTCCCATAGTAGATGGGGTCAAGGTTTAAGGCCAGGAGGGACCATTATGGCCATCTAGTCTGACTTCCTGCATTGTGCGGGGCATAGAACGTAACCTAGTAACCCCCACCATGACTCCCTGACTCCTTCCCCTTTCTAAAACTCAGCTGTTCTCCCCACTCTCCCTGCATGGTCCTTTAAAATAGTTCCCTGCACTAGCTCTCGCCTCACAGTGTCTCCAGGTAACTTCACTGTGCCATTTCCTCGTCTGTAACTGCTGTGCCCTTAGCAGCTGCTCGTATGGCCGTATTGAAAAGCCAGATCTTCGTAGGCCAGAAGGAACCATTAGATTGCCTAGTCTGATCTCCAGTTTAATACCGACCAGAGAATTCAGTCTGGACTGGAAGACAGCAAGGAATGGAGAATCCCCCATCCCTTGGGAGTTTGTTCAATCACCCTCACTGTTAGAAACGTGTGCGTTATTTCTAATTTGAACGTGCCTGGCTTTAACTTCCAGCCATTGGTTCTTGTTCTGCCTTTCTCCACTATTGTTTTTTCCCCATGAAGGTACTTGTACACTGTAATCAGGTCACCTCTCTCAAGCTTCCTTTTCTTGATTTAAACTAAACAGATTGAACTTCTTAAGTCTCTCACTATCAGGCATTTTCTCCAGCCCTTGAATCACTTTTATGGTTCATTACTGAACCCTCTCCATTTTTTCAATGTCCTTTTTAAAATCTGGACACCAGAACTGGATGTGGTGTTCCAGTATCAGACTCACCAGTGCCATATACAGGGGTAAAATCAGCTCCCTGCTTCTACTGGCTACTCCCCTGTTTATGCATGCAGGGATTTTATCTGTCTTGCAGGGGAAGTTGGGAAGCCAGGGAGTCCATGTTGCAATGTGAGTAAGTTGGGTGAGGAAGCAGTTAAAATTCTCAACCACTTGAGGTCTCATAGTCCTGGGTCGTGGTTTGTGTGTGGGAGGGGCAACCACATTGCCACTTTTAGGACTAGGAGGGGTCTGCTGTGATGAACCGCATGTTCAGTCCGTGTTTCACCTGATCTACCCTGATTACACACATGCCCTGAGCAGACTAATGAAACAAACACCTGCAGCTGAAGTCTGATTTGGGGGAAAACTGATGTTCTAATGGTTTCCAATGCAACCATATGTAAAGTCCCAGACAGTGAGGGGAATAAGTAGCAGATCCAGGGGACCCCTTCAAAAACATGGATCCGGTTTCTATGCAAATGAAGGAGGGACAGAGATACAAGGAAATGAGTTTTCCCTGTAGCTGGTAGCGTGCTCTTTTTAATTTAAAAAAAAAAAAAAAAAAAAAAGTCATTACCTGGAAATAATTCCTCTTTGCTTCTGTAGGTGCAAGAACTCTGAAGACAAGATTGGCTGGTTTCGCTTCTCCCTCACCCTGGATCCCTTATAGGAATCACAGATGTAAGTGCTGCAGGAAGTTTGTATCCATCCAGTTTCTTAGTGTGGTCCCAAATTGGTACCCCCAGCCAATGTCACCATCGGGGGAGGTATGGGACAAAAATAGGGTACTATGGCAGACATAGTTTGCCAGCAGTTAACAAATGTCTGGCATAGGGTACATCATGCATTCCTCATTCAGTGACAAACAGTCTCTGAACTGATCTTCCAAACATTGCCAGGCTGCCTTTCAGTGCCTGAAGCTGCAGGTGCTTTCAGAAAGCCATATCTTTCTGCACATATGAACGGGGACTCCCTGCTGCAGAACTTTACTAAGCAGTTACCCCAGTAAAGGTTTGCTGTTTGGGGAAATTCACAGGGTGTTCTTTCTAGGGAGTCCTCTTGCTCTCAGAGCTGTTCATTTAAGGGAGAGTGGCCGCGATGACCGTTCCTCTTGCTGCCACAAGCCATGGGCAGTGGGATTTTGTGTCATCGCAGATTAAGCTTGGCCTTTCTTCACTCAGGGTGCTCTTGGATGGGTTTGGCCGTCCGTTAGCACCTTCTGAATTTTGCGGGGTCAGACACTCAAAGAGGCAGAAGGGGACTGGACTCTGGGGACAGAAATGGGGTTTAAAAACAACCTGCTCTGTAAACTTTAGGCAGTGGGCTATAGTAACCAGATAGTAATTTTTCAATGTGAGCTGAAAGATTGCCTGCACTGAGGCACTAAGAGCTATGCTGGCCTCAGCTGGGAGGAGTTAGCTTCACTGCACCAACTAGGTTTCCAAGACGCAACTGTGTGCTGCATTCTGCATCTTTGAACCTTTATCTTTACAGGGATGATTTGAGATGAGCCTTAAAGGAAAGGAAAATGTATCTTTCTCTCCACCAGCATCAACTGTAAGAGAGAATTTGGGGCCTGAAGATTAAAAGATTTGCCCTGTCTCCGATCTGCATTACAAGGACTCTTTGAAGTTATGTCCAGGAAAGGCTATACTAAAAACAGGATAAATAATAAAACTAGATTGAATGGATGTGTAAAAGTTGGGTGTTTTTTGTACAAAAGGGCAGTGGTAGAACAGGGGGAAATGGAGCTTTCTCAACTCTAATCCACTGGTCTGAATTCAGCCCAGGTCAGTAGTGGCTGTAGTTGGGATTTTCACAGGAGATTTAAGGGAGTTAGATGCCATGCTGCTTTAGGCTTCTTTGAAAATCCCATCTTTAATCCATTGCAATTTTCAGTTGCCCTTTCTGTGAAATGAGTTAGGGCTTGATCTCATGTCTGAGATACAATATCTGTCCAGGTATTTTTAAAACTCCTAGTCACTAGTATCGATGGACTTGTACAAAATTGAGGATCAGGATGGTTAACTAACATTGATCTATTTACTACTGTGTCCAAAATTACTTTCCACTCTTCCGTGAATTGACTCCACCATGTCCACTATCTGTTTTCTACTACCAACACCATTTAGGTTAGGCTGAGATTTTTCAGATGCACTCAGGATTTGGACACCCAGTTCCCATTTAAAAAAATAATGGGAATTTAACAGGCAAATCTCATAGATTAGAAAATCTTAACCTAAATGTATTTAAACCATGTCTCCCCGACCCTACAGGTGCACACTCACTCCTCTGACACCAGCTCAGACCTTTATTTCGTGCTTCGAATGTTGGCATCCTCTATCATCCTGTTTTCTCTTCACCCCAAATAAACAGATGTGGATCCTTTCCCCATTGAGCTGGGGGCCACCACTGCAGTCCTGCTACATCTTGCAGCTGTTGTGCTGAACAGCTGGGAGGCAGCGAGAGAGATGGAGCTGAGAGGCAATGCTATGTGAACCAAATTCAGCAACATGTGGTTTTGAGTTTAGACAGCCGGGGGAGTTATATTGAAGTCAGGACAAATTTTCAGTTTCATGAGCAGAGATGCCAAGCTGGACCCTCAAAACCAGGGCCATCCCAGAAAACATGGGCCATTTGGTCATCAAGAGTTTGAACTAGCTTTTGGGGGTTCAGCTGAACACAAGAAACAAGCATTTCCCCAAAATCATGTATTTAACATTAAACCAGCATGAATCTTAAAAATTTGTAATCTCCATTTTTTTAAATTTTTTTGTTGTACTCCATATTATGGGAGAAGTTGCAATTTTATTCTTTTAACGTGATTGCTTTTTAACTGTGGGTGAAGGTCTCTCAGTTTGATTACATATGTACAGAAATGCTACGTGATAACTTTTGAACACTGCATGCAATCATTTCCAACTTTTCAGGGAACATTTGAGGTGCTGAGGGCCAGCAACCTGTTCACTTTTGGGAAAATTGGAAAACCAAAAGGGAAAATGGGAGGAGGGACAGATGGACACATGGAGCCTTTGCCAGCTGTTTAGCACAGCTGCTGCTTCAAGCAACTCTGCAATTGTCTATAGACTAAAGAACTGGTTGATGGAAGCCTTTAACCCCTTCCACCATAACAGTGCCCCTAGCTCATTTGTGTGTCCTACCACCAGAATTTAACATTTGACACCCTAAATAGCGTCTCATAGACCTATAATAGGGAGAGGGGAAGTGGGGGCACGCACACAGCCCCTAGTATGGGGGGGGGGGGGGGGGGGGGGGAATGCACAGAAACCCGGGGGGGGGATCCGGGTTGGGGGAGGGGGGCATAGAGGGGTATAGGGTGCAGAGAGAGCCCCTGAGGTGGGGGCGGAGAATGGGGAATTGGGGCATACCAGCCCCTGCAATTGCAGGGGGAGATTGGGGGACCCTGCTATAGAGAGATGTGGGAATGGGGGCTGTCATAACTATAAAGGGAAGGGTAACAGCCCTCCTGTGTACAATACTATAAAATCCCTGCTGGCCAGAGACTCCAAGATCCTTTTACCTGTAAAGGTTTAAGAAGCTCAGGTAACCTGGCTGACACCTGACCCAAAGGACCAATAAGGGGACAAGATACTTTCAAATCTTGGTGGGGGGAAGGCTTTTATTTGTGCTCTTTGTTTTTGGGGAGAGTTAGCTCTTGGGACTGAGAGGGACCACACATCAATCCATGCTCTCCAAATCTTTCTGAACAAGTCTCATATTTCAAACTTGTAAGTAAACAGCCACGCAAGGTGTGTTAGTTTTATCTTTGTTTTCTCAACTTGTAAATGTACCTTTTACTAGGGAGTTTACCTCTGTTTGCTGTAACTTTGAACCCAAGGCTAGAGGGGGGTCCTCTGGGCTCTTTAAGTTTGATTACCCTGTAAAGTTATCTTCCATCCTGATTTTACAGAGATGATTTTTACTTTTTTTTTTAATTAAAAGCCTTCTTTTTAAGAACCTGATTGATTTTTCCTTGTTTTTAGATCCAAGGGGTTGGATCTTGATCCACCAGGAGTTGGTGGGAGAAAGTAGGGGGGATGGTTAATTTCTCCTTGTTTTAAGATCCAAGGGGTTTGGATCTGTATTCACCAGGGAATTGGTGAAGAGTCTCTCAAGGCTACCCAGGGAAGGGAATTAGCATTGAGAGTGGTGGCAGCGGACCAGATCTAAGCTGGTAGTTAAGCTTAGAAGTTTTCATGCAAGCCCCCACATCTATACCCTAAAGTTCAGAGTGGGGAAGGAGCCTTGACAGGGGCATACAGAACCCCTGCCACATGGTAACTTTGGGGACCTTGGAATGGGGGTAAGTGGGAATGGGAATGCACACAGAGCTGCTGGCAGGGGGGAAATGGAGTGATGCAGGGAGTCCCTGATGTGTGCAATAAGCTCAGCCTACAGAAGCTACGAAATGTACAAGCCACCAAGTTAAATCCAAATATAACAGTATTGATTCCCCCCCCCCGCCCCCAGCTGGTAAGATTTGCAGTTAGCAGGGTGGGTGGTTGATTGAATCCATGTGGAGTTATTTTATGGCATGGTTATTCTGGGGAGGGTGAGACCAGTACAAACAGGGATGTCTTAGCATCCTGGGAAATGGAGTCTTAAATCACCAGCTGTCACAAGTTCAAAGCTGGCCCCTTCCAGCAGCAGCACCTCCCATCAGTGTAGGAGGCAGGATAGAGAGTCAATAAAGAGATGGTTGCTCATGTATTGCCCCTAACATGCAGATGAGCACCATTTTGACATGCCTGTTATTGGGATTCTAGAGGTGCTGTTTTGATGTGGGTTGAGAGGGCAGTATGGGTGCCATTTTGACATGTTTTTTATGGGGAGACCATGGGTGCAATTTTGAGATGCAGTTGGGTTCAGTGTGCCATATTGATGTGGCTTTTATGGGGAACCTGTGGGGTGCCATTTTGATAGGGGTTGAGAGGTGGGATGTTAGGTCTCTTTTTGACAGTTCTTATTGGAATCTCATTGGTATCATTTTGAGATGGGTTGGAAGTGGCATATGGGTGCCAGTTTGACTTGGCTTTTTGTGGGGGAAGCCTTGGGTACCACTTTGAAAAATGTTGCAGTGGGTAGGTACCATTTTGACATGGTTTATGGGGAAACTGTGGATGCCATTTTGATGCAGGTCAGGGAGCGGACGTGTTAGTGTCATTTTCACGTGGATCAGGAGCGGGCGCGTGGCTGCCCTGTTGAAATGGGTCGGGCAGGCGGGTGCCCTGGTGACGTGAGTCAGGGAGAGGGCACATGGGTGCCCTGGTGACGTAGGTCAGGGAGTGGGTGCACCGGTGACGTGGGGCTGGCAGCGGCAGGTCGGGCAGCGGGGGAGGGTGCCCTGGTGACGTGGGGCCTGGGCGCTAGCTCAGCAGCAGCACGCGGGTCTGCCTGGGCTTGTCGGCAGGGAAGGCGGCGCTGCGGTCGCTCACTCCCCCATGTCATGGCCCCCTCCCCCTACAGTGGCTGTGCAGAGAGGCCGGGGAGGGACTTTCGGTCCAAACCATTTCCGCAGAAGGGGATTGTTTTGTGTAAACAGCAAGCTGAGACCCTTTTTGGCGCATTTTGGGACACCAGCCTCTAGTCCAAATATTTTGTAGTGAATTTTTGTCTTTATCCCTCAAGAGCTAGATGGATTTTGTGCCACCTCACCTCCTAGTCCTTTCCCCCTTTCTCTATAATGGTACGTCCCACGCTCCTTCCCCGCTCTCCCATCAAACAGGGCACCAAAGCAGGGCGGGCGGCGCGAGACGCTTTGGGACGCTGACGGGAGAAGCTTTTGCGCGCCGCGACCGTTGGCGGGTGCGAGCGGGAGGGAGTGGGGGCGACGCCGGAATGCTCCTCGGCGAGGGGAGGGGGAAGCGCACGGAAGCAGCGGCGCATGCGCAGATACGGATTTACTCGCCAGAGGCGGTTGCTAATTTTCCCGCCCTTTCCCTGCCCCAACGATTTTTTTTAACCGCTGCGTGGTTTAAAAAAGCCGGTTCAATGAGCGAGTAGCCCCCACATTATTTTGTGGGGTACTGGCTCCTCCCCACACCCCGTGTCAGTCTTGCCTGCCAAATATAAACGTGTGTCAAATTCACCTCGCAGGGCACGAAGGTACAGCCGCTATTTTATAAAATGGGGCCGTTTGTGACTCAGTGGCCCTGTCAAAGCCAATGGGGCAGCCCCCCTCCACCCTATACACACGCACACTCCTAAAAACAACAATGGGGTGCCCACTAATCCCACATTGGCTTATATCAAAGCTGCGAGGCACCCGTTTTGGCGCATGTCATGCTTATGCTGTGCCAATGTTGGCTCATGCCAAGCCAGTGTGGGTGGATGCCCTAAAAAGGCCACTTTAATGACCAAAAAACACACTGGTGTCAGCCAGGCTCACATTAACAGACACAAAGTCCCAATATTGCCATGGGATAAAATGCTGTTGGCGTGTGCCAATTTGGACATATAAAAATCCACCATATGGACTCATGGCAGTACTCTGTCGGCAAACATCAAATGCTCAATGGCAGGAAAACATTACATAGTTGCAATGTCAAAAGATGCATCATCCAAAGCAAGGA